AACACAAGCAGAGGGAGTGGGAGAGGGAGAAGCAGGCTTCCCGCGGAGCAGGGAGCCCAATGTGGGGCTCGATCCCAGGACCCTGGGATCATGACCTGAGCCGAAGGCGGACGCTTAACGACTGAGCCACCCAGGCGCCCCTTAACTATAATTTTTTTCAAAGATTTATTTATTTATTTGAGAGAGAGAGAGAGAGCGCGAGCGCACGTGAAAACACACAGGCTCAGGAGGGAGGGGCAGAGAGAGAGAGGGAGAGAGTCTTAAGCAGACTCCACGCTGAGCATGGAGCCCAATAGGGGCTCGATCTCATGACCCTGAGATCACCACCTGAGCTGAAACCAAGAGTCAGATGCTTAACCCACTGCGCCACCCAGGCACTCCTTAACTATAATTTTTTAAAAAAAAAAATTTTTCAAGATTGGGCCTGGGTGGTGGTGCCACCTTGTGGCCACACTATTATCTTGAATTTAAGAACTTTTTCAGAAGTTCCATGTGTGTGCTCATGCTCTTAAGTTTATCATACCTGTCATGGAATAATAAAGCCCCAGACTTCCTTAACCTTTCAGGGTAGAGAGGGACCTTCAGGGATGCTCAGCCTTTGCTCAATTACTTCTAGCCATGGGGAGCTCCCTCTCTGGAAGAGAAGGCTGGTGCCACGCTGGAACAGCTGACTCTTCTGAAGTCCCCTGCCCCAGACCTCCATGCCCACCGGAGCTCCGCATTATGGGGATGGAGTAACCAAGATCCAGGGAGGCTGTGAAGCCTGCTCAAAGCTGCTCTCATAGAAGCTGCTGATTAACTGGATAAACTCCATGAGGCCAGGGATTTGTCTGTTTTGTTCACTGCTGTAACCTCAGCACTTAACAGGCTCTCGATAAACATCTGTTCAATGAATGAATGAACAAAACTATCAGCCGAGCCACCAGCAGTTGTGACCCAATCTTTCATTCTCAATAATTATAGTGACAGCCGGCATTTTTCTTGTGTGTGTATGTTTTGTTCTGCAATGTAAGCTCTACACCCAGCATGGGGTTTGAATTCAGGACCCTGAGATCAAAAGTCACACGCTCTGCGGACTGAGCCAGCCACGTGTCCTTACTACATGCCAGGCACTGTTCCAAGCTCCACTTCTACATTAATTTATGTAAAGCTCACCATGACCCTGGGAGTAAGAGAGGTGCGATCATTAGTCCCCATTTTGCAGATGGGCAAACCGAGCCTCAGGGAGTTTAACTGACCTCCTCAAGATTACACAGCTAGGAAGTGGCCCAGCTAGAATTTAAACCCAGGCTGACTGGATATCCCCAGAGGCTTGGAGCAGGGGCAGAAAACGAGCTGGGAGTTGTAGGCTCCGTGTAGGCAAATAAGGCGGGGTAGCTGGTGCTAATTACTTACCCGCCCTTTGCCGAGAGGGGCCTGTGCTGTCAGTGTTAATCCCTTGTAAAGATTTTAAGATCTTTCCACCATTGCTGTGGGGCAGGGTGGGGCTGGGGAGCGATGGGCAGAGAACCTGAAATGTTTTTTCTGGGCCCTCTTGGTGGTTCAGCTTGAGGTTGACAAGGAAAATCGAAGTCACTACTCCCCATCTCGCCCATTTGCAGGCTGGCATAACAAGTGACGTCAGCACTCAAATCTGGCTCCTCCCATTTGCTGCTCCCGAATCCAATCAGCGGCGCCTCTCCTGCCTGGCTCCGCCTCCCCTTTGCCCCGACCCGATTCTGGCCTCTACAGTCTCTGGTCTCTGTCTTCTGCCCGGACTTGTGCAGTCACCGCCGTCTGTCTCCACCTCTCGGAAACCCAGCTCTGTGCAGAGCCCTTCGGGGCTCTTACTGCAAAGAGAATGAAGTCTGAACTCTGGCTAGCATTCCAGACCTGCCACCAGCCACGCCAACCCACCTTCCTGCTTTCTTTCCAACGAACCTCTTAATTTCTTTATATGTCTACCCTGCCTGGTTCCATACACAGGATGGAGGCGGCTCCTGACCAAGATTCATCCTGCCAACACGGTGCTGGGTTCTCAGAGGTCCAGCACCAGGGACACGGCCCCAGGAAGTCCTGCATTTGGACCTGGTCCCTGAGTCCTTGGAAGCCCCGCAGCATCTTCTCTGCGCCCTTGGGTCAGGCCTCACCTCCAGCCGTATAGAATGGCTATTAACATGACCAGGGCTTGTCCCTACCAGACTAGGGGTCACTGAAGTCTGCACGCAGGAGGTATACTTCTCTCCAATCCAACTCCACGTCAGGGACGCAGGGCCCCCGTGGATGGTTACGTCGGCACAACTGCAAGAAGCGCCATTCTGGAGCTGGAAAGTACACAACCTGCACAACAGCACAGAGCAGCCATGAAGGGAAGGCCGCGTCCGCTGAGGAAATCACGCGTGTGGTACACCACCGTTGTCGCTAGAGGGCGCAAGATTAGACTCCGGGCGCCGCGGCTTCCCCGCGCGTGCACAGCACTCCCAGGGCATAAACGCGCTGCGTTGCAAAAGCAGGATTTTCCATGGATTAGAAGTAATATATGCAAATTGCCTGGTATGTGGCGTTTACAGCAATGTGGGTGAGGAAGAAAGTGTCCGGGCCCTCACCCACCCCACCAGCCCTGCTGTGTCTCAATGATGGAGAGTCTGGGGGGACCAAATGGCATGGGGGTAATGATCCAAGCCCACAGGGTCACTGTGAGGTGGTCAGGCACCCACGTGGCACATGGCAGGAGACGGACAAATGACAAGCGCTAAGGTTATGCTGACAGCAGTGATCAGGCCTGGGCTCGAGCCCTTGGCTGCCATCTCCCAACTGCCCGGCCCTGGACAGATGACGTAATCCCTCCCCTCTTCCCACGCCTCATCTGTACGGTGCGGGCAACATCTGCATCACAGGGTGGTGATGAGGATTAAGTGAGTGACTTTATGTAAAGTACTTAGCACAGCACCCCACCTCGTATATTCCTTTATAACCACTGGTTTTGTCTCTTTCCCCTTCTTCTGGGCCGGGCTAGACTGGGGTCCAGGGAAGGGCTGATGCTGGGTCACTGTGAGGGGGAAGAGATGGCATGAGGCAAGCCCAAGGGGCCCCCAGGGGTCAGGATTAGACGTGCCTGGTCTGGAGGCCCACCCAAGGTATACACAAGGCTGGAAATGGGCGCCCAAGGAAAGAGGTGGGAGCCAGGGAGGCAGCGGCCAGTGGGCCGCACCGAGGGCCTGCTCGCGGGGCTCACTGTGCAGCCTGATCCCCTCCCCCGGGCCTCGCGGAGGGCCCCCTGGGGGACCCTGGGTCAGCAGAGCCACCACATGAGGAAGAGAACACAAGCATTGAACGAATTTATTCATGAGAAAACTCAGGGAAACAATCTACTGGTTACAAGCTCCGGAAGCTCTTGTCGGAACAGCCGTTGGGGGGGGCGGGGCGCCCCAGGCAGGAGGCCGGGGGGGGGGGGCGGACAGCCGCCCTGGGGACAGAAGAGCAGACACAGGCAGGTGTGGGTGCCCGCCCGCCCTGTCCCCAGGACCCCACTCCCCCTCTGGGTTAAAGTGCAGCCGGGAGGGAGGTGATGGGTGGGAAGGGGTGCTGGAGAGCTGTGGGGACACTGGCCGCCATGAGCCCTCCCCCCTCCTCTTCTTGGTTTCTTGAGGCTCAGCCAGAGTCCATCCCACCCAGGTCCCTCCTTGGAGCCTCACTGCTGTCAGAAATTTAGAAAGAGCTCCCCAGGAGGGGAAGGCTGGCTCCATCAGCTTTCCGAGAGGCCCAAAACTTGGGGGGCAGTGGGAGACACTACCATCTCGGAGAGGGAGGGGGAGAAGGATACTCCGGTGATGGTCCGGGAGCCCTCCCCTCCCCCTGGCCCAGGTAGGCTCCTCCCTTGCCTTCCTCCACCGCCTGGAAAGCCAAGGAAGCCAGAGAGGCCCTGAGAGCCTGGCTCCCAGCTCCAGGGCCATGAGTCAGCAGGGTCCTGCCCAGACCTGACTCCCAAGCACGCCATCGAGGGAGGGCCATTTCGGTACCACTGGGGAGAAGCTGTCCTGGGGATGCGAGGCCTTTGGGGAAGCCTATGGGGCTAGAGCTTCTGCCAGGGGTCTTCCTATAGCCTGGGCCCAGCCCCTCCCTCAGGGCTGCTGCTGGCAAGGAGCCCACCCTCAGCTCAGGGCCCCCGCTCCACCATCTGCACCCCAGGGGCCCTGCCCCACCAGGGGCGGTGAGGACCTCACACCCACCTAAGCAGCTTAGCCAACCTCTTCCCCTCCCGAAGGCACATCTCTAGGAGGCAGAAAGGAAGAAAACCACCCCCCATCCGAAAAAGAACCCTGAAGACCTCTGCTACCTCCCCTCACTCTTGAATATATTAAATTGTGCAGCTTGGCCCCAACCCCTCCCTTCAGATCTCCATGGCAACCGGAAAGCATTCCAAGTCCAAGTCTGAATCCAAGTCCATCCAGTGCCAAAGGGGGGCTCCAGCCTTTCTCCCCACCGCTCCCCCAAGGGTGAGACCCAACATTCCACAGGGGACGAGAGGGGAGGAAGAGTTGGGGCCTCAGTCCTCAGCCCCCTCTTCGTCCACGTGTGGGGCCCCGGGGGGATCCTCGGGCTCAGGGGTCTGCCCTCCAGGGTGGGGGTGGGGACGGGTGCCCGGCTGGGAGCCCGGCGTGTCCTCGCCCTGCACGTAGACGCTCAGCCCGTGGCTCGGCTCCTTGCCGCACGCCTGGCAGCTACAGTGCAGAATCTTCTCCACCAGCTTGTCCACCCGGGGCACCTCCTCGTGGCCGGGGCACTCCAAGGTCACCTGCAGAGGACAGAAGAGAAGGGAAGACATGTTTCCAGAGGCCCCAAGGGCAACAACACTCCTCACGGGACTGACAATCCCAGAGACCCCAAAATGTCTGAGCCCGCCTGGGGAGGGCACCCCAGTTAGCTCTGTGGGCCCCTCCACAGGCAGGAGGGCGAGCCCCTGCAGGAGCCGCCCAACTTGTCTCCTGTCAGCCAGTCCTGCCACCTCCCTACCCATTCCCTCACAGCAGCCTGAGGGGAGAAATCCAACGGGGCCTGCCCTGCCCACAACCCCCCTCAAGTGCCCACTGCACTTGAAGAAAAGTCCAGACTCCTTACCAAGGCCCCCCCAGGACCTTCAGGCTGCCTCTCCACCCCTGACTTTGTGCCACCAACTCTGGGCTGCTGGATCTGCCCGAGACTTTGCACATGCTGTTCCCTCAGCATGGAAGGTCCTCACCTAACCCACCCTGGACCACCTGCCCCAAACTGGCCCACTTAACTTCTACTTAACCTTGGGGTCTGCGCTCAGACATCACTTCCTCAAAGAGCCCCATCCCAAAGCCGCAGCCCAGCCTAGGTCTGCCCTACCGGACCTTGCAGGGTCTCACTCTTCTAATTCACACTTTCCCAATAGCTCTTCTTTTCCCATCCTTCCTCCCTTTTCCACAGAGCACCTACTCCCTGCCAGTGCTGGGGACACGAGGATAGGCATGGTCCCTCAAAGAATTTAGAGCCTAGCAGGGGGGAAAAGACTTGTCACAATCATCCAAATGCAGATGGAAAACTGTGAGGCACATGGTGCTCAGGGGGATGGGAAAGGGCACTGAGAATAGTGCTGAGCCAAAAGCAGAAGAATGAATAGACATTAACTGGGTGAGAAGAAAGGTATTCCAAACAGGGAAAAGAGCATGTGCAAAGGCCCTGTGGTAGTAGCAAGCAGAGCAGGTGTAAGAGATTGAAAGAAAGCACATTGATGTCAAGTGTCAAGCAAGTAAAAAGGATGAGAGAGGCGAGACAAACTCAAGAGCCTGGGAAACCAGGCCATGCTGGGCACTGTGGGACCCAGCAAGGATTTGGGTCTCATCTTAAAACAACAGGAAACCACTTAAAGGATTTCATCATGTGACTGACATAAGAAAGATCTCTTGTCCTGCGCACATTGGCGTCAGAAGCATAAGCCATCCTGCGGCAAGGGCCACGTCTGGATCCCCAGCACAAGCCTCAGCCCCTGCACACGGTGGGGCCTGACGGGTAAGCCCTGCAGCCGAGGCTCGCGCGGGCTGTGGGTGGAGGCCGGGCAGGCAGGGGCGGCAGCAGTACTCACGATCTCCCACATGGACTGCGCCGGCATGCAGGAGTCACAGTGAACCAGGGACTCGGTGGACTGCGGGAAGGTGTTGGGAACGCTGTAGCTGAAGCACTGTCCTAGGCACGCCCTGTGGGAGGAGAGGTCACTGTGCCCGTGACACTGCGGCGGCAGCGGCGGCGGCGGCAGGGATGGGCCGCCTTGTCCTCTGCCTCCCTCCTGGCCCCCATCCCCAGCCCCTCCACCCACCACCCCTGTATCGCACCTGTTCTGGATGGACTTGGCCTCACAGCCGCTGTGGCCCACGATCTGGGTGATGTTCTTGGCCTCACACCAGGCGCTCTTGTCCGGGAACAGGGCCAGCTTGTTGATGGGCGGCGGGGCGGCCAGCAGCATTGCGGGGAGGACGGCCCCAACCAGGACCCGAAGCATCGTGCCCGTGGCCTCTAGAGCCCTAGGACTGAGCACAGACTGCAGGTGAGGCCGGCAGGGCCCAGGGGGCCGTGGACAGAGGGGACGGCAGCGCGACAAGCATGGGCTCTGACCCCCGACTGCCTGGGTTCAAATCCTAGCTCTACCACTTGCCAGCGAAGCACAACCTCGGACAAGTTATTTTGCCTTTCCGGACCCCGACAATGGGGCTGCTAACATATGCGCGTGGATGGGCGTCAGGAAGATGACACGAAAGCCCTCAGCGGTGAGGCTAGCAGATAATGCACGCTCTGTGGGTGTTACTTTGATACCCTCCTGTGCAGCTTCGAGCAAGTTACTTTTTATGTCCGTGCCTCGGGTTCTTCATCTAAGAAATGGGGATGGAGAAAAGGGATGGCAGAGGACTGTGATGCTTCGGGCCCTCTGGGAAACACAAAAGCTTACCCAGGAAATGCAGTGCCTGCCCTCGAGGGGCTGGCCACCCAGCACGTCTCCTGGGCATGCCACCCGCAGGTCAGCCACCAGGAAAGCTAACCTCCTCCGTCCAGCACTGTGACTTCTCAGACCACCTTGGCTGGCTGGGCGTCACGTGAAACACCTAACCCCGGACCAGGCTATTTCTTTTTTGGATGCCCCACCAGAGCCTCAAGCCCTGAGTCTTTTCCATACATCCTTATTTACCCCCAGTTCCATCCCAACCTTCAAGAAAAAAACAAGACAAGCGCTTGACCCCCTGTAAACTGGATGGAAGGAGACACTAATACCAGAATTTGCCAGAAGATGGCACTGCAGGGCAGCGTGTCTAAAGGACTGCTCTTAGAGGGGGCTCTCCCAACTTCAGCCTCCCTAGGTTTTGCCCTCTCCCCCACCTCCAAATGTATGGAAGAGGGAGGCTTCAGAGTGACTTGAAAATGAGGGCAAGGCCTGCAAGGGGGTGCTCTGGGGACAGGACATGGGAAAGGGCGCTGGATGGGGAGCAGAGTCTGCACCTGCTGTGCGACCCTGGACACCCAGGCCTCAGTGTCCCGACCTCTAAAATGAGTGAGGTGCCCTGGACCGCTGGTTTCCAAACCTGGCAAATCATGAGAATCCCCTGAGTCCCCTGGGGACTTGCGGAGTGAGGTTCTAGGGTGGAGCGGGACTGCGAATTTCTAGCAAGCTTCCAAGGTGTCTCTGACATGGAGCCTGGCTCGAGAACTGGTCCAGCTCAGTCAGTCTGGGATTCCATGCCTTGGGACAGTCCCAAGAGAGGCCTGGGCATGGCCGAGTCAGGATCAGGGGCCAGGTGCTGTCCCACAGACGCCCAGCACTAGAGTGGGAACGTTCCCGTTCAGAATGATCCTACCCTCAGCCAGCCTCCTTGGTGAAGTGTCCAGGAAGGGGGAGGGGTTGGGGGTCTTGTCTGCTGCTCCAGGGAAAACCTAGGTGGGCTGGCTCAGCTGGGCTCTAGGGGATGGACCAGGCCAGCCTGCAGGGCTGTGACCACCTCCACATCACTGTGTTCTCTCCACCCACGAAGTTCTGCTCAGCCCCCTCTCCCTGCGGGAGGTTTCCAGAAGCAGAGACGAGTCCCATCTCACTGGACCCCAGTGCCAGCGGGGAGGGGTGAAGTGGGGAGAGCAGTAGGAGGTGAGTCGGGACGGCCTGCCCCATCCCAATACATTTGTGTCATGACCCTGGCTCTCACCCACATATTTCCGGTCTCACTCACAAGATGGACAGCAAAGCCCATGTTTTCAGTACAACCACATCCTAACCAAATAGAACGGACTCGTTCCTAACTGGCAACCTAATTTTTCAACAAGCTCGGCATCCAGGAGGCTCCCTGACCCCACGGGGTCCTCTTCTGTGCCTAGGGAATTAGGCTCTGAGTCGGGGTCTGACCACAGCACACCACGAGGGGCCCTGCAGGGACCACCCGAGGCCACAGCTCCCTCAGAGACCTCAGACAGGTCTGGGGACTTTGCCCTCTACCTGACCCTGTGGCGATTCCTCAGGAAGACCGGGCTGGGCGGGAGGTGACTGGGAGTTGAGACCGGGGTGGTATGGAAGTAGCCTGGAGCCCCACGGGTCTGCTTTGCAGCTGAATTTGGTGGGGTTTGGAATGGCAGCCATGGGCCAGGACCAGGCTAAAGGGGGGGCAGAGCTGAGACTGGGGGCGGGGAATAATCAGGCTTATTGAAAGACAGGGCAGTGGTGAGGTTTTAGGGGAGTCACGGGCCTGGAGCATGGGGACTGGTTATTAGGGTCAGGTTATAGCAAGTACACAGGCCGGAGCTAATCCAGCGGTGCCCACGGAGTGGGGGTGGGGGGGTGGGGGGAGTCCTGTAAGCCAACCTCAGAGGGGGCTGGAGCCACAGTCTGCTTATCCAGGCCAGCAGCCCTGAGCCCTGGCCAACTGCCCCGCCCCCACCACAAGCACAGCCCCCGGAGTCCCCTGGTTCAAGTCTGGCCTTCCCACCTGGGAGCTGTGTGACTTCCAGAAATAAAGCTCACCTCTCTGCACCTATTTGCCCCTACCCTAAGATCGGGAGTACAGCACTGCTGGGGATAAGGCCTGGGAGGAGGCAATCAGCAGGCCCCCAGCTCAGGCCAGTCCTCAACCCCAGTCCCCAGAGCGCAGGGAAGGCGGGGCAGGCCTCAGGCCCCTGGGCGTGAGCAGGAGGCAGGGGGGACCCCAGGCTAGTCTCTCTCACCCACACACACTTGCCATCGGATGCACCCACGTTCCGGCCGCCCTCACACCCAATCCCCAAGAATCCCTGCTGCCCCCCTCGCGCTGGGGTGGGCTCTTTGCTAGCACGTTTTCTTTTTTGTTGGTTTATGCTTTTTTTGTTTTTTCAAGCGGCAACTCAGCTAATTTTTTTAGACAGCAGGGGGACCTGCCTTCCTGTGACAAGAGCCTCACCCACGGATTCTCATCTCTTCCTCCCTCCCTGAAGGTCACACCACAAGTCATGGGACTCCTGGAACACCAGGGTGGGAAGACGGATTTCCCCAGGCCAACAACCCCCCTTGCTTTGCCAAGGGGTCATCCCCAAGGCCCCCCCACCCCAGCAAATCGGGCCAAGCAATGCTCTTCCACTGAGGCATGCGGTTCCCTGCAGTTTAGCGCTCAGTCCACTGAGCACCTTCTAGGTGGTGGAGGAGACAGAGGCAAGGGTGAGGGCAGGGGAGCTGGGGCCCCAGACCCTACACCCACTCAGAGCTCAGAGTCTAGAGGAGGAGGTCAAAGGAGGTGGGTTTCGAGGAAGCAGCTATTCAGATAGTCAGAGATGGCTGGGGTGCAAAGAAGGAGAGAGTCTTAATTCTGGATTTATTTTTAAGAATTTATTTATTTATTTGACAGAGAGAGAGAGGGAACACAAGCAGGCGGAGTGGCAGAGGGAGAAGCAGGCTCCCCACTGAGCAGGGAGCCCGATGCGGGGCTCGATCCCAGGACCCTGAGATCATGACCTGAGCCGAAGGCAGATGCTTAACCGACTGAGCCACCCAGGCACCCCCTTAATTCTGGGTTTAATTCAGGACTGCAGTGAGTTACCAATGATGGGGAGAGGGGGGAGGTCCTGGCTGAGGGGACTGCAGTCACAAAAGCAAGGAGAGGGGCTTCATCGCTAACAGCCCAGCACATTCCCTGCCGGTCTCACAGTAGCAAGAGCTGGTGCTAACTGTGGACTAGGCACTGTGCTGGGTGCTTTTAACATGTATGCATTTACGCGGTCCTTACAACAACCCCATGAAATGGATACTACTATCTCCCCCATTCTATAGAGGAGGAAACTGAGGCACGGGGAGGTTAAGAGATTTGCTCAAGCTTACAAGATTAGGATTGACTAACACGAGGATTTGAGCATGGACGGTAGCAAGGTAAGCACCTGCTACCTTTGCAGATGGAAAGGCTCCCAGAGGATAAAGCCAGAAACAGAGGAAAAGAAGGTGTCCAGGGAAGGGTCCGGAGTTGGCAAGAGGCCTGGGGCTCCCTGCCCCAGCAGGCTGCGTCTCTTATCCTTATTCACACTACCTGGGAGCAGAGTTCAAGTCCCACTCCTGACTCCAGTGCCCGTGAGAGCCCACACACACACCCTCACACACACACACCCTCACACACACACACACACACACACACCCTCACACACACACACCCACACACACACACACCCTCACACACACACACCCTCACACACACCCTCACACACACACACCCTCACACACACCCTCTTACACACACCCCCTCACACACACACACACCCTCTTACACACACCCTCACACACACACGCCCCAACTGATAAGAGAGCAGCCAGGGCTGACCCCTGGGTCCTTGGAGCCTCAGGAAAGGCCTGATACAACCCTGCCTCAGAGTTGTGGCGAGATTTCAATGGGGGCATCCTCAGCCCGGGGCCGGGGGGGGATGTCTTCTCACCACCACACCGCCACTCCCAAATCCCAACCCCCAGATCCTCAGAGGCCTTGTGCAAACACCAGACACGTCCTAAGGCTGCCAACAACACAGAAAGAAAGTTCCCTGGGGGAGGGGAGGGGTCGCTGGCTGATCCATGCCAGCATCGTGGAAACTGAGGCACAGACCAAGGAGGTGAGCACCCAGATCTCTCACGCCAGAGAACAGGGCAGTGGACAAACACAGCAGAGCCGCTGGGTGGCTTTCTCAGGATCCTTGGTTCAGAAGGTCCCTGGGGAGGGGCCAGGGGTGGGGCAGCAAGAACAGGCTTCGTGGTTGGGCCTTTGGGGTCCTCTCTCTGTTTCCACCCCTCCCAGAACCTAGCATCTTCCCAGAGATGCTTGCCAAAACCCACATGCCCGGGCCCCAGCCCTGGATATTCTGACCCCACAGGTCCAGGCCATGACCTGGGCATCATCTACAAACACTCCCACGTGATTCTGAGGCCCAGCCAGGTTAGGAGCTATGGCCCCCCAAACTGCCCAGGGAAGTGGCCCCCATAAGAGCACCGCTGACAGGAGCCACCCACCCTGCTGCCCGGATTCTAGGGCCTGGAATGAAGTCTTCAAGTCACTGGAGGGGCCTAGAATTTCCAGGGAGACCTCTAGCCCACCCACACCCACCGTGAAACCCTTCGTAGAGCAGAGTCGATTTTCTGTAAGAACAGAACAATTGCTGCCCGTTTCCTCTTTGGGGCAAATCTGAATATCCAGGCCACGTACACCAGGATTTTCTTGCTAGAATGGTCCACTCACCGCCAGTCACACATCCACACGGGCCCCTGGTGTCACCGTTCCCTACAGCAACCAGCCTGGTGTGGAAGCAGGTGAGGGCAGGCCTGGCAAATCCTTGGTGGCAAAGGCAGCTTCTCCCCAACTTCAACTCCTGCTCCCATAACCTCTCCTGGCACCTTTCCCACCTACAGCCCCACCTGAGTCGGATGGAGGCTTCTACCTGTGGGCCCAGCAACCGGGCGACATGGCGATTCACACAGCAAGCACGCGGCCTTTGTGGTGTGTTGTTCTTGAACTGATCAGACCAGATGACCCCAGCAGCCCCCCCTCCTGCTTTTCCTGTGCACATACACACAGGGCCAGCTCTCGGATCCCCACCACTGACTGCCACAGACCCAGGTTCACATCCTACCTCAGCCAACTTAAACTTTCTGTGCCTCAATGTCCTCATCTGTAAGGTGGGCACACAGAGTGCACAGAAGGGCCTGCAGAGGGCGGCTGCCACGGAATAAAGCCTCAGTAACGTCACCCTTAGGGCTAGCCTGGGGTCCCTGAACTCTGCCCCCACCCCCCTGCCTCCTGCAAGATGCCCCTCGCCCTCCCCCTCCCTCACCTCCTCCCACCAGATCCTGGGCAGGTCCTGAAAATATCTAAATCCGGGGTTGCAGTTGCCTTGATGAGAGTGGATTTAGGGGAAACTCAGCCATATGAGATGATAGCGCAGAAAGGGTTTTATAAACTGTAGAGTGCTGCCTGCCACCCGGACCGGCCAGGGCGGGAGCCGAGAGGAAGAACGCACTCAGACTCTCACCCTGGAGCCACTGACTGAAGGCACAGGGTCTTGGAGAGATCAGCTCCCTGCCCCCCCCCCCCCCCCCCCCCCCCCCCCGGAGAAAACAGGCTGGGCCTGGCTGCCAGGCTGTCCCCTGCTGTGGGTGTGGAGGGCGTGGCCTCTGTGGCCACAGCCCTAGGCTTGGGCTCAGCCAGGCTGGGGCAGTCCCTGCGGGTCTTGGAATGAGCGCAGGGACTTCCTTGAATGGTGCAGCTGGAAAGGTCGCTCTGGGATGCGGGCCAAGAGGCGTCAGACCCCAGCCCTGATCCGCTCAGCAGGCTCCCCCGGGCCCACCCTGGGGTCCAAGGACAAGTTCAGGCCCAAGCTCATCCATTGACTCACTGTGTGCCTGGGCGCGGGAGAGTCTAATAGTTACAGACGGAGCCACTGAACATTTGCTTTGCCTCCCTGAGCCCCACGTTTGCCTGCGCTAGAAGAGGGAGCATGGCCTGGGAATGTCCATTTAAGCGGATTCCCTCAAGGGCAGTCTGGCTCCAGCATGTTGCTTAAGGCCACTGTGATTCCATGACCCCAGTCTCACCGCAGGGTGGCTTCCTTCCTCCCTGCTCTGGCAGAGCATGAACTAACTGTCCAGGGGGCGGACACACAGGGCCAGGCCCATGCTCCAAAGGCCTGCCCACCTCTTGCCAGGCGGCTCCAGCTTCCGGGCTACAGCCCCCAGACCCAGGCCACGGCTCTCCCACCTGCAGACCCTCCTGCCCACACACCAAAAACGGTCTCCAAAACAAATCTATGCTAATGAGCTGCTGCAGGGCCCACCGCACATCTGCTCAGCAGAAGTCCCACTGCAGACCTCACCAGCATCCCTGCCCACTCTGCAGCCTCCGACCCTTGGGGCTGGGGGTGGGGAGAAAGAGCCAAACGCAATCTGAAATCTCACTTTAAAAGAATGAGGATATACCGGTGGCTAATGCAGACCACCTACTCCCCCCATCCACCCCTCCAAGGCGCAGGCCCAGGAGAAAAGAGGTCCAGTTTGCGGGGGGGGGGGGGGGGCCAAGGGTCACCAAGGAAATGCTCCAGTCTTGCCTTTTCTTTGGCCCCAACTAAAGGCAAACCACACCCAAGCAGTCGCAGCATCTGGGGGAGTTTCTGGAGGCTGGTGGTTTCCACAGTAACAAAGGGTGAGGGGCCCCTTGTTGACAAATTGCTTCCCCACCGACCTCCCCAGCCAGCGCCCAGCCTTTGGCCTCCAGCCCTGACCTCTGTTTTCCTGGGGTTCCCGTAGTTACAGGCTGGTGTCCTCCAGCTGGGCGAGGGCCTCAGAAAGCCTGAAAATGTGCCCTTCTCCCCTGATGCCTGCCAAGCCCCCGGCCACGCCAAGGCAGGCAGCTGCCCCCTTTACAGCGGCTTGTAAAAGATCAGAACCGCCCCGCCCAGGGAGCGGGGCGGGCAGGTGGCCGGCAGCGGGGCCCCGTTGTCCCGGCCGCCTCGCGGGGGTGGAATTCTTAAGAAAACTGAGCCCCCGGAAAGGCTGGCTCCCCCTGCCCCAGACTCAATTCCAGGGGGATGACCCAGGCCAGGCCCCGGGGGCAGGCGGAAGGGAGGGGACGGTTTCGCTTCTTTTCCCGGGTCTAGGAAACTATTCATGAACCCCACTGGGGGGTTGTCTGAATTTGAGGGTGGGGGGGTCAGGGAGATGCACAGACCCTGAGGAACTCCCCCAGAGGGGCAAGGACGGAGAGAGAGAGAGAACATAAAGGCAGAGGCACAAACCCAGGGAGACTGAACACGAAGGCAGAAGGGGAGAAGAAACAGAAAGAAAGGGACCGAACAGAGAAGGGGACGGAAAGAGAGAGACGAGAGACACGGGCAGTCGGATGGGGAGACCGAAAGACAGGGAGCGAGACAAAAAGGAGGCAGAAACGTACCGGAGCGGAGCGGCTCGCGGCGCAGCGAGGCCCGGGCAGAGCCGGGGAGACGCGCGAGCCCCACGGCCGAGCTCCGGCCGCTGCCCCGGCGCCCGCACGGCCCGACCCGCCCTCGACCCGCCCGGCGTGCGCTCGCCACGCACCTCCCTCCCTTTCTCTCCCGGCCGCCGAAACTCTCACCGAGCAATGGACACCCCCCGGCGAGTCCGGGCACGGGCTCGGGGCGCAGCGGTGCCCCCCAGCCACCCCGTGCCGCGCCCACGTCCCCAGCCCCGGCGCCCGGAGGCGCCTCCGCCCCGTGCCCCGGGCCGCCGGACGGGCCGGGGGCGCGGCGCTGCCCCTGCGGCCGAAGCCTCTGGAAGCCGGGCGCCCGCGTGCCGGCCCGGGCGGGACTTACCGCGCGCGCGGCGGCGGGGAGCGCGGCGCGCCCGCCTGTTCCTGCGGAGCTGTCTGCGGGCCGCGGGGGCGGCAGGCCCGGCGCCCCCGGGGAGGCTCGGGAGGCGGCCGGCAGGGCTGGCGGCGGCCCCGCGAGGCTCGGCTGGGTTGCGCTGCGCGCCGTCTGCGGCCCCGAGCGGGCGCGCGGTGCGGGGGAGCGGCGAGCCGAGCGGCTCCGACGTCAGGGGTGTCTCCGCTCCAAATAGGGAGCGAGGGCGGGGGCAGCGGAGGGAGGGACGCGAAAAAGAAAGAGCGGGCGGGCGCGCACTGCCGCTCCCTCCGGGCTCGCGGGAGGGGGCGCCCCGGCCGCCCGGCCCGGCCCTTCTCCCCGCCTGCGAGCCTCGGGCCGGCCTTCGCGGCGATCCGACGGCGCGGCGGAGCTGCGGGGCCGCCCCGGCCGGCACCCCGGGCATCGGGCAGAGAGCCCGGCGCCCCGGCCCGTCCTAAAGCGCCCTCCGCCGGCTTTCTCTGCGCTCCGAACTTCCCTCCGCCTCACTTTTCCTGACACGGGCCGGGCCTCGGGGTGACAAAGATGGAGGTCTTCCCTTTTGTGGGGACCGGGGCGTTGCGGTCTTGCTGCGAGGCTGTGGCGCTCCAGTCCACCGAGTCCCGACGCCAGGCGACCGTCCCGGCTCCGCAGGCCCGCGGTGCGCCCAACCTATCCGCTCTCGGGCACGACCCGGGTCAGGTCCGGCTCTTGGGACCCCGCTGTCCCTCGCCGTCCACCCAGCCTCCTCTCAGCGCAGGCACCGGTCTCGGCATCCGGAGAAGGGTGTGAGAGCCCCGGAAGGACTCTACAGAACGGGAGCGCCGACCAACGGACTCACTTCTCTGGCTCCCGGGAAGGGCAGAACGCAGGCCCGGCGCCCAGCGTCGCCTCGGCCGTCCGACTAATCAGCCCGCACTTGGGCGGGTCGCGGCTGTGCCCTCTCTGTCCTGCGTGCTCTCAGGGGAATGGGGAAACAGCTTTGCTCCTGGAAAGTAGTAGCCCAGGACACAATCGGGGGACTTGCAGATTTTGCTATCAGAGTTGGGCGTGTCTGTGTATTTTACCCCTGGCCTATCGGTGTCACAGGTGGCTGAGCATCTGGGGTGGCTCCTAGTGGCCTGCTGGTAACTCCAAGGTGTGCTCCAATTGCTCCAAACCCAGACGCATCCCCATGCCTCCTAGCTCCTGCTTATGCTGTTCCCTCGGCCTGGGGTTCCCTTCTCCTTTCCTCTCCCGGCAAAGGCATTCTTGTAAGCACCAGATTGGAAAGACTTCCCAAGACCCTCGGGTAGCATAAACCTCTCCCTCCTCAGGTGTGTCACTGGGCATGGAACAGTACCTCTGGCAGTGCCAATTTCCCTCTACGCTGGTTGTGCGTGTCTCTTCCTCCTTTAGACCGTCGGCTCCTTGAGGGCAGTGATGGCCTATTTCAGTGTCCCCAGTGCCTAAGGACGTGTCCGATATATTTGGCTGAATGGAAGTAATTATTAACCACCATAGATAAGTGTTCCCAGGAAAGTGACAAGAATAACAATCCTACAATACATAATATGTATATTACTTATGGTATTTGTATGTACAATAACAATCATAAGAGCTCACACATACTGAGCACCTCAGTGGGTGCCTGCTCCCATTCTAGGCACTTGCCACCAGCACAATAATTCTATAAGATTAACAGTATTGTTATCCCCATTTTATAAGTGAAAGAAGCAAAACCTAGAGAGAGGTTAAGTAACTGGTCTAAAGTCACACAGCAGGAGATGAGGCCAGCTACCGTCTGTTAGATGACCAAGTCCTGCAAAGCCTAGCATCACTGCCTGGTGCTCAGTAGGCACTCAGGAAATATTTACCATTGTGCTTACTGCCACCGTTCTCAATGCAGACTCTGGGCAGGGTGGGCAGTGGATGTCTGCATTTTGAAAGAAGCTACTCCAACACTGCAGGAAGCTAATTGTGTAGCCTCTTGTCAGATCGCACAGAGAGCAGGGACTAGTAGTCCTTCACAGTTCAACCAGGACTCTCTCAAACGCAGGGAGGTTCTAGAACAATCCCAACCACCTAATCAAGGACACGGGACTTGGTGTTGAGTCACCCCTGCCTGGGGAAGACTGGTCATCACAGAAGGACTACAACGTGCGCAGGGAGTCTGGAAGGTGACTGGTCAGTAATACCAGCAGCCACCAGTGTGTGCCCGGTATCATGCCCGCTTTATCATATCAAATCCTTACCACAGTCTCAACATTATCCCTGTTTTAGAGAGAAAAATCGAGGCCTCAAAAAGTTAAGTGACCCGTCCAAGATCACACCACTAGTGACTGACAGAGTCGAACTTGAACCCAGACCTGACAAGGCCAAAACCTGTGCTCCTTCGCCCGCCACACCCTCTTGGCTGCCTCAGAGCCTCTCCCCGTCAGGCTGCAGTGAGGATGCTAGCCCACCGGGAGCCAGGGTGACGGGGCCCCTGCAGGAAAGGCAGAACCTGTCACGCCAGAGTCCCCGAGCTCACGGAGATGCACCTGGTTGGCAGCAGCGAGCCAGTTGCCCCGACAGGCCTGGCTGGCACAGGGCACGGGCCTGAAGCCAGAGCCTGCTGGCCCCGGGCCAGCCTCTTGGGGCCGAGTAATGTGGGGCCCAGAGCTGGGGTAGAGGGCTGAAAGCCTCTCTCCCCAGCTCATTAGCAAACATCTGGGCTCAAGAAAATGACCGACCTGGAATGTGGCCGGGCTGTGGGGAGCTGCTCCCTCCCTGAGTCCCGGGAATGTGAGCTCCCTCCCGCCGGGCACGGGCTTGGGCCAGCTGTTAACTCTAATCCAGTCAGCCTGGCCTCGACAGGGGTGCAAACCTCTGTGCTCTCCTGGAGAGTGAAAACAAGCAAAAGGCCTTCCTTCCCAGTCTGGCCCACTCAATCAGAGGGTTGGTACTGCCCCCCCACCCCCGGGAGAGGCACAGTCCCTCCCTCTTCTTATGAGATAAGGAACAAGCATTTCCACACGTCCACGTTTGCAGTTGGGAGGGGCCGCTAGGACTCCTCACAGAAGGTTCCGGAGTCTTCCTGCTTGGGTCGGAATCTTTGCTCCAACACCCACTGATTCTGGGACTCCTGGGACTCCGTGCAAGCTGTTTCCTGCCTGGGTCTCGGTTTCCTTCTCTGCTGGTCATGGTACTCCACAGGGTTGTTGGGCAGGACTCATTCATTTATTTAACAGATACTTAGCGTGCCTACTATGTGCCAGACAGGCACAGAGTGTGGAGGACACAACGGCGGACCAGACCAATAAGGTCCCGGCCCTTGAGATGCGTGTGTTCTGGGACAGGGAGCAGAGTCCGAGGGAACAGATGAATGGGTTTCTCATCATTAAGTGCTCTGAGGGAACGAAGTGAGCCAGAGGGGGTGAGGGGATGAGAGAAGCCGCAGAAGACGGCTCAGAGGTGATTTTTTTTTTTAAGGTTTTGTTTATTTATTTGACAGAGAGAGACACAGCGAGAGAGGGAACACAAGCAGGGGGAGTGGGAGAGGGAGAGGCAGGCTTCCCGCAGAGCAGGGAGCCCGATGCGGGTCTCGATCCCAGGACCCTGTGATGGAGCCCGATGTGGGGCTCGATCCCAGCACTCTGGGATCATGACCTGAGCCGAAGGCAGACGCTTAACGACTGAGCCACCCAGGCGACCCTCAGAGGTGACGTTTAAGGGAAGGTTGTGATGAGGAGCCAGGACTCGAGATAAATGGATGCAAAGTGCTCGGCACAGGTTCTGGAAACCAGCGCGTGCTCCAGAAACTGAAAGCTATCTTAGGAAGGTTTGTACATAGCAGAGGGAAGGCGGGGGTCGGTGTCCCTGGGCCACACCTAGGCTTGAACACAACTAATACATTTTCTGAGCCTCAGTTTCTTCATCTGTGAAATAGGAATTCTAACAGTGCCCAACTACAGGCTCGCCGAGAGCCGTGCACACGAAGCGCAGAACCTGAAACATGCTCCCCTCCCAAGAAGTGGGAGCTGCTTGTGTATTATCCTCTCCCGTGGAGGAAAGGATTTGCCTCAGTTTGCCCAGCCAGTGAGCA